TATAACTGAGATTCCCAAGGAATACAAGTACAGCCATAAAAATAAAAAACCACTTAGTTAAATGCCATTGTGCTTCCAAAGTTTTGGAGTCGATTGGGAAAGAGGAAACAGAAGGGCGGGGAGTGGGGCGCAGAAATGAGAATTCTTATTTTCAGTTAGTGTCATGATTTTTTTTTCCTACGTGAATTTTGCATCACTCATTTGAAATGTTCCAAGAAGATAATTTCAAACGTCACAAGGAGAAAAAAAGGACGTTTTCAAATTTCTAAAGATTCCTAAAATTTCCTTCAACAACACTGAGTGCTTTTTTTGTTTGTTTGTTTCAGGCCACAAGGGACACAAAGAGGAACTCATCTCTGGTGGGAGCCAGGTAGACAGTAACTATGACTCAATGTGGGGAGGGCTCAGAGATGGGCGATACTCTAGGAAATACTGAAAGAAGGGTTTAGAAAAGACTGAAAGTGCACATGTTCCCAAGGTCTGTGGCTGGTGTGACCATCTGATCTTCAACTGCATGCAAGAGCAACTGTGACAGCTCAGGTCCGCAAAGGATCTGCAGCTGCCACTCGCCTTTCCTATACAATAAAAAAAGAAACAAAAGACTAATGGCCAGAAGAAGCCAAGAAAGGGTGCTATCTGACTGGAGCATAAAACCTGAGGAAATGGGCAAAAGAGGAGGGAAGTTTTCCAGGCAAGGACAAGCCAAGGCACAGAGCATGCAGATGCACATCTGAAGACTAGTGGCTAAAGTGAAATGTACATCCAATAAGTAGAAAGGTGGTAGTTTGTGGGGTTAACGAGATAGCTTTAGGATAATGTATGCTGGATCTTCAGTGTTACCATGGAGTTTGTATTTTATTCTGGTGTTTCATCATATAAAGGTAATAACTAGAATCAGTCTTTAACAAACAAGGTATGGGTACCAGAAACTGCTAGCAATTCATCAAAAATTGTTCCATTCTTCCCAGCCTCTGTTGCCTGATTTCTAGCCAGACAAATGGGTAGAAATTATGTGAATCCTTTTGATATCATGCCTTTTAAAAAGGAGGCAAATGTCCCCCAAATCCAGCTTGAATTTATGGCTGTTTATTTACTGCTGTACCTGTTTTTAAATTATTTCCAGCAAAATTTTACTTGCAGATGATACTACTGTTGTTACCACATTCTGTTCGATCCTTTGTTTGGAGTGGGTACAAATATGGATCTTCAGTTCACTACATAGTTGTCTCCCAAATTTCTTGGCATAGATGAGTGAGTGAGGAAGCCCAGGGCTGCATCCTCTTGTTGAAACATCTCAATCGGTGTGTTGTCAATTCCTAGAGCCTCGTTTTTTGCCAAGGCCATCAGCACAGCTTGAGTTTCTTCCTTCCACACCATTGGTTCTCAAACTACGCTATCTCCTGAAATGGCTGAAAGGTGACCAATTCTTTTTGGTCCAGTGACTGGGTGTTCCTCCCACTTTCTTTTCCTGCTTCCTGGCATGTTCAAAGGGAGCTCTGGTGGTGTAGTGGGTTTCATGTTGGGCTGCTAGCTGCCAACATTGGTAGTTCGCAACCACGAGGTGCTCCTTGGGAAAAAGATGAGGTTTTCTGCTCCCAGGAATATTTACCATCTTGGAAACCCACAGGGGCAGTTCTACCCCGTCCTATAGGGTCGCTATGGTCAGAATGGGCGCAGTGGCAGGGAGTTTTTTGTTTTATTTTGTTTTAGATTGTTCATGTTTTACTCAGAACACCCTTCGGTACTGAAACTCAAGGCCTGGATTATTTTCTTCAGTTCTCTCAGCTTGAGATAGGCCAAGCGTCTCTTCCCTTTTGGTTTTTTAACTCCAGGTCTTTGCGTACTTTCTCTAATCAATTTTCAAATCTGTATTTAGATCTTTGATGTCATCATTTCTTCTATTTGATTTTTAGAGTTTCTTCTTGACATCCACTGTGGTCTTTCTTTCTTGTCTTTTTAATGACCTTCTGCTATCTTTGTGCATCATGTTGGTGACGATGCCCCACAAGTCTTCTGGTCTTTGGCCATGAGTGCTGAAGGCATCAAACCGGTTCTTGAGATGGTCTCTCAATTCAGATAGGATATGCTCAAGGCTGTAGGGCTCTGGTGGGCTTGTTTTCATGAGTTTCTGCAGCTTCAATTTGAGATAGCACAAGAGAAACTGATCATCTGTTCCACAGCCGCCTCTCTCCATCCTTGTTGACTGATGACACTGAAGTTCTCGACCATCTTTTCCCACGCACGTAGCGAATCTGACTCCTGTCTACTCCACCCCGTAAGGGCTGCTCATTTAGTTACCATGTATGGTGCTTGAAAAAGGTATTTGCAATGATTTAGTTGCTGGGCTTAAAAAACTCTATCATGCAATGTCTGGTATCATTTCTATCACCAAGATCATATTTTCTAACTACCAATCCTTTTCTTTCTTTCTAACTTTGGGATTCCAATTGCCTGGTAAACACCAATCCATCTTCATTGCATGTTTGATGAACCGAAGAAGTTGGTAGAATTCTTCAATGTCTTCACCTTTGACATTCGTGTTTGGATGTACATTTGAATAATAGGCCTAGTCACAGATTTCTTTATAGGCAAATGGATATTATCCTATCACTAACATACTATCACCACACAGCTGGGGGTCTGGTCCTTACAGTAGGCAGTGATTACCCTGGCAAGATCGTCTACAAATAGAGAAGGAGCTCCAAGATTGTTCCATAATTGTAATAAGGAAAACTTCTGTATTTTGTTTTTGTTTTGTTTTTTAAATCATTTTATTGGGGGCTTGTACAACTCTTATCACAATCCATCCATCCATCGTGTCAAGCACATTTGTACATTTGTTGCTATCATCA